CTGGCTTTGGATAGCTACTATTTAATCATAGTTGATTTTGATTTCCTGGAAACACATTCAACTACTACTCATTCTTTTTTTTTAGGTGAGGTTCAGGTTTTTTCTTCATCGCTTTTCATTTGGAATTGCACTTCCGGCTTTGGATGGCTACTATTTAATCATAGTTGATTTTGATTTCCTGGAAATACATTCAACTACCACTCATTTTTTCTTTTTAAGTGAGGTTCAGTTTTTTTTCTTCATCGCTCTTCGTTTGAAATTGCACTTCTGGCTTTAGATGGCTACTATTTAATCATAGTTGATTTTGATTTTCTGGAAACACATTCAACTACCACTCATTCTTTCTTTTTAGGTGAGGTTCGGTTTTTTTCTTCATCGCTTTTTATTTGGAATTGCATTTCCGGCTTTGGATGGCTACTATTTAATTATAGTTGATTTTGATTTTCTGAAAACACATTCAACTACCACTCATTCTTTCTTTTTAGGTGAGGTTCAGTTTTTTTTCTTCATCGCTTTTCATTTGGAATTGCACTTTCGGCTTTGGATAGCCACTATTTAATCGTAGTTGATTTTGATTTCCTGGAAACACATTCAACTACTACTCATTCTTTTTTTTAGGTAAGGTTCGGTTTTTTTCTTTATCGCTCTTCGTTTGAAATTGCACTTCCGGCTTTGGGTGGCTGCTATTTAATCGTAGTTGATTTTGGCTTCCTGAAAACACATTCAACTATCACTCATTCTTTCTTTTTAGGTGAAGTTCGGGTTTTTTCTTCATTGCTCTTTGTTTGGAATTGCACTTTTGGCTTTGGATGGCTACTATTTAATCGTAGTTGATTTTGATTTCCTGGAAACACATTCAACTACCACTTATTTTTTTTTTTAGGTGAGGTTCAATTTTTTTCTTCATCGCTCTTCATTTGGAATTGCACTTCCGGCTTTGGGTGGCTGCTAGTTGATTTTGATTTCCTAGAAACACATTCAACTACCACTCATTCTTTCTTTTTAGGTGAGGTTCAGTTTTTTTCTTCATCGCTCTTCGTTTGGAATTGCACTTTCAGCTTTGGATGGCTACTATTTAATCATAGTTGATTTTGATTTCCTGGAAACACATTCAACTACCACTCATTCTTTCTTTTTAGGTGAGGTTCAGTTTTTTTCTTCATCACTTTTTGTTTGGAATTGCACTTCCGGCTTTGGGTGGCTACTATTTAATTGTAGTTGATCTTGATTTCCTAAAAACATTCAACTATCACTCTTCTTTCTTTTTTCAGGTGAGTTTCGGTTTTTTTCTTTGTTGCTTCTTTGTTTGGAATTGCACTTCCAGTTTGGGTGGCTACTATTTAATTGTAGTTGATTTTGATTTCCTGGAAACACATTTAACTACCACTTTTTCTTTTTTCTAGGTGAGTTTCAGTTTTTTTCTTCATTGCTTCTTCGTTTGGAATTGCACTTCTGGCTTTGAGTAGCTGCTATTTAATCGTAGTTGATTTTGATTTCCTGGAAACATATTCAACTATCACTCATTCTTTCTTTTTAGATGAGGTTCGCTTTTTTCTTCATCTTTCTTCGTTTGGAATTGCACTTCTGACTTTGGGTAGCTACTATTTAATTATAGTTGATTTGGATTTCCTAAAAACGCATTCAATCACCACTTCTTTTTTTCAGACGAGGTTTAGTTTTTTTTCTTCATTGCTTCTTTATTTGGAATTGCATTCCGGCTTTGGGTAGCTACTATTTAATCGTAGTTGATTTTGATTTCCTAAAAAACACATTCAACCACCACTCTTCTTTTTTTCTAGGTGAGTTTTGGATGTTTTTTTCGTCGCTTCATTTCGAATTGTTGCTGGTGGTGAACTCGATAGCTTTATAACTTCTGGTGTTGCTTTGTAGTTTCATTGGTGACTCTTGTTTTTGTTAATATTGCTTTGCTGCTAGTTAGGGTTAAGGTTAGGGTAGAATAGAATAGTTTTATTAGATAGTTGATATAAAATAGCATTGTTTTGTATTATATAAGTATAATAAATTAATCATTTAAATAAATTAATCATTTAAATAAATTAATCATTTAAATAAATTAATCATTTAAATGAATTAATCATTTAATAAATTGTATAATTACATGATTAAGATGTATTCTTTCACATTTTTTCAAATACTTTAGAAATATTGCAATTTATTTTGAAATATTACGCAATTAATTTCGTAATATTATGCGATTTATTTTGTAATATTACATGATTTATTGCATAATATTTCATAATAAATTGTATAATATTCTGTAATAAATTATGTAATATTCCATAATAAATCACGTAAAATTATACCCAGACTGTAATTATTGCGCAATATTACGAGACGTAATAACTTACATAAGTTTACGTTTATATAATTTGCTGATGATCCTTAGCAGTATATAAATAAAATATTCATCTATCTAATTTTATTAGAACTGATCAAATTATAAGCACTTACCATTATAGTAAAAATGCACTTATAAAGAATTCATATATAAAGTGTTATATTTCTGTTTGATATCTTGAAATTAGAAAAAAAAATAGGAGGAGTTATCCAGAAATAAAATGAGTTTTCTTTTTTTTGATAATATGTTGTTATCATATAATATATGATATTATCATAATAAATTAATAAAGAACTTTTAAAAATCTTAAATACTGTATACCACTGACTATAGTAACCCTGTTATAATACCCCCATGAAAAAGACCCGAATACTATTTATGGGTTCATGATTCAGAAAATTGAATAAGACCCAGGTATTATTATATATATATATATATATATTTGAAGTCCTTATTAAATAATATTGAAGCTCAGAGGTGTGGTGACTTAGTGAAGTGGTCTAGTTGTCACCCTCACCAAACGTTATGGGAAGATCCCATGTTCGAATCCCAGGGACGGCGCTTTTGTAATATGGGAAAAGCTCTGCGACGATCTTTACTAAGGTTGGCCCATGGAGGATCTGTCGAGACGGCGTCT